AAAACAAGGCTCCAGGAATTGACAGAATACCAGTTGAGATGTTTCAACAAACAGATGCTATGCAGGAAGTGCTCACTCAACTACACCAAGAAATTTGAAGACAACTACCTGGCCAACTGACTGGAAGATATACAAATATATGCTTATTCCCAAGAAAAGTGACCCAAGCGAATGCAGAAATTATCAAACAATATCATTAATATCATATCATGCACAAGTAAACTTTTGCTGAAGATCTTTCAACAGTGGCTTCAGCAATATATCGACAGGGAACTGCTAGAAATTCAGGCCAGATTCTGAAGAGGATGTGGAACCAGGGATATCATTGCTGATGTCAGGTGGATCCTGGCTGAAAGAAGAGACTACCAGAAAGATGTTTACCTGTGTCTGATTGACTGTGCAAATGCATTTGACTGTGTGGATCATAACAAATTATGGACGACATTGTGAAGAATCGGAATTCCAGAACATGTAATTGTGCTCCTGAGGAACCTGTACATAGATCAAGAGGCAGTTGTTCGGACAGAACAATGGATTACTACTTGGTTTAAAATCAAAAAAGGTGTGCATCAGGGTTGTACCATTTCACCATACTTGTTCAATCTGTATGTTGAGCAAATAATCCAAGAAGTTTGACTGTATGAAGACCACAGCTTCAGGAATGAATGAAGACTCATTAACAATCTGTGTTATACAGATGACACAACCCTGCTTGCTGAAAGTGAAGAGGATTTGAAGCACTTACAGATCAAGATGAAGGACTACAGCCTTCAGTATGGATTACATCTCAGCATAAAGAAAACAAAAATCCTCACAACTGGACCAGTAAGCAACATCATGATAAACAGAGAAAAGATAGAAATGTCTAGGATTTCATTTTTCTAGGATCCACCATCAAGAACCATGGAAGCACCAGTCAAGAAATCAAACACCATCTTGCATTGGGAAAAACTGCTGCAAAACACCTCTTTAAAAGGTGTTAAAAAGCAAAGATGTCACTTTAAGAACTAAGGTGCACCTGACTGAAGCCATGGTGTTTTCAGTCACCTCATATGCTTGTGAAAGCCGGACAATGAATAAAGACAACCTAAGAAAAATTTTTGGCTTTGATTTACGGTGTTAAATATTGGAATATACCATGGGCTGCCAAAAGAACAAACAAATCTGTGTAGGAAGAAGCAAAGCCAGAATACTCCTTAGAGGCAAGGATGGGGAGACTTCGTCTCATACTTTGGACATGTTATCAGGAGGGATTTAGTTCCTGGAGAAGGACATCATGCTTGGTAAAGCAGAGGGTCAGGGAAAGAGAAGAAGACCTTCAATGAAATGGATTGACACGGTGGCTGCAACAATGGGCTCAAGCATAATAAGGATTGTGAGGATGGTCCAGGACCAGGCAATGTTTTGTTCTGTTGTACATAGGGTCACTATGAGTGGGAAACAAGTCGATGACACCCAACAACAACAGTAGGAGTGAAGTGGTACCTCATTTTTGTTTTGATTTGCTTTTCCTAAAAACTAATGGGAGCCCTGGTGTCACAGTGGTTAAAGAGCTTGGCTGCTAACCAAAAGCTCTGCAATTCGAATCCACAAGCCCCTCCTTGGAAACACAATGAGGATGTTCTACTCCGTCCTCCACTCGACAGCAACAGGTTTGGTTCTAATTTTTTAAAGACTAATGATGTTGAACATTCTTTCATGTGCTTATTGGCCATTTGGATATCTTCTTTGAGGCACTGGTGATGCAGTGGTAGAATTTCCACCACCCATGTGAGAGAACTGAGTTTGATACCCGGCCAGTCACCTCATGTCAGGCCACCTCCTGTCTGTCAGTGGTGTCTTGCATGTTGCTATGATTCTGAACAGATTTCCATGGAGCTTCAAGATTAAGACAGACTAGGAAGAAAGACATGGGGATCTACTTCTGAAAAGATACCCAATGACCCCTCTATTGATCACAACAGAACATTGTCTGATCTTCAAACAATAATAAAGATGGCCCAGGACCAGGCAGCATTTTGTTCTGTTGTACATAGGGACGTCGTAAGTCAGGGCTGACTCAATGGTATCTAACAACAACAACATATCATATTTGATGAAATATCTACTTAAGTTCTTGTTCATTTTCTGATTGTGTTGTTTTTCTTTTGTTGTTGAGTTGTAAATGTTCTTTCTATATTCTGGATATTAAACTCTTATGGATATATGGTTCAGAACTATTTTCCCCCATTCTGTAGGTTGTCTCTTCACTTTCTCAATAAATTTCTTTGATGCACAAAAAAAGAAAAAAAAAAGGCAGAAACAAGAGTATACACTGATGAATCCATTTAAAGTACAAAAAAATGGGCAAAACTAATGTATGCTGTTAGAAGTCAGGGTAGTGGTTACCCTTGGGAGGGAGGGGTATAGACTGGAAGAGGGTATGAGGAGGGCTGCTGTTAATGTTGTTTCTTGATGTGGGCGTCTGTTACATGGATGTTTCCAGTTTGTGGACATTCCTTGAGCTATAAACACATAATCTATGAACTTTTCTGTATGTATATTATACTTCAACACATTTTCTAAAAAGTCTTCCTGAGAAAAGGTCTCAAGCAAGAGGCAAAAATAAAACAGTCACTTTTGCACTTAACACGCAGAACTAATGAATGACAAGCTCATGATTATCTTTTTGTGCTGAGACAGATAAGACAAATGTCTCTCCCTTTTGTGGAAACAGTTATTTAACTAGAGGGAAGCCATTTTAATCCCTAGCCATTAGTGCAACCCTGATCCTTCCCTAATAATAAAAGGAAAAAAAAAAGACTAGTGGCAGCATACCACCTGTGGGCACTCACAGCCCTTCCAGGCACCAAAAGAATTGCCTATTTTGTTTAAAGAACTAGATCTTCATTTGGAGTTTTAATTTTTATTCCAAAACTCACAACATCATGCATACACTATAAATGGGGTCTGGCCATGACGCCAATTAAAGTTTTCTTGAGCACTAACCCCATCCCCACACCAGGAGTCTGAAACTGAGCACTCCTATCTTTATTAGGCAAGTCATTTAAGTTTCCACATCTGTAACATGGGAATGATAATAGTATCTCCCTCACAGGTTGTTGTAAGGATTAAAGACCTATTTCATGTGAAGTATTTTAGCACAGTACCTTCCACAGAGTTAAAAACTCAATACTTGTTACCTGCTATCATTATTCTGATATGGGCCAGATAATGGTTTCTCCTCCCTTTCCATTACCCCACAGCCAGCCTCATTTATAACTTTAATCCCCCAACAGGGTTATTTTAATATTTTAAATATTTAAATATTCAGGGACAAGGACAATTCTGACTCCCCTTTCTCAGATCAAAAAAGTATTCAAGTGAACTGATTTTGAACTGGGCCAGGAGAATGGCCCAAGGCTAGGTGGGTAGGGAGAAGAGGGAGTCTGGATAGCAGAAGCCCCTTTGTTGATAGTGCTGCCTTCCCGTACCAGTAAACCTGGTGCACATGGCATGACCTGGAAAGGAAGAGATCCAGAAAAAGGTAAGGTTGGCTGCTACAAGGTATGTGGTTATTTTCACACAGAAGGGTCCTGAAGAGGAGGGAGTCAGGAAGGGAGAGGTTTGAAGGTTGGAGTTCTGCTTTGCCCATCAAACAGCATCATGGTCTTAAGCTAACAAGTGGACAGATACTTTTCTAATTACAAAAAAGATTTCACACACATCCTTTTATTTAATCCTCACAACTATCCTGTGAAGTGAGCAGGGCACGTTTCATTATTCCCATTTGATGAGGAAAGCAAAGCTCAGAGTGCTTAAATAATTTGACCAAAGATTACTGGCTAGTAGTTGGGGGGACCAGCACTCTAATTCAAGTCTTCTTGCTTCAAAATCCAGGTTCTTGCTATTAAAACATGTTAGACTTTTGTGTGGACTTCAGTTAGCTCGGGCCATGTCTGTTATAACTGATAGAAAAAAATGAAGCGGAGACTAGCTATTAACTAAGGAGCCCTGGTGGCGCAATGGTTAAGCAAGAGGCTGCTAACCAAAAGATCCGCGGTTCCAACCTAGCAGCCGCCGGCATAAGATGAAGCGGTAGGCTTCCGTAAAGATTACAGCCTTAGAAACCCTGTGGGGCAGTCCTACTCGGTCTAAAGGGTCGCTATGAGTCGGAATCCACTCGATGGCAACGCGCAGTTATTAATTCAATATTCCTCAGCCCCAGATGGAAGAAAGAAAACTGTCGATTTGGAATAGAAAGCGGCTGGCGTTGGGAAGAAGAGAATAGGGTCTGGAAAGGAAAGACAAGTGGAAGTGACTAACCGGGAGAGGACTGTAAACAGCGGCCAACTGGCCTGACAAATGCCAACCTCTTGGGTTTCTCCTCTGGCTGAGCAGGACCAGGTCCACTCTGCTCCACCCTCATCCTTTCCCATAGCCCAGCTTGGCTGGAGAAATGCCTGTTCTCCCAAAACCCACACACGCAAGCCAGGGGCCTGGGTGATCTGGGTAGCCTCTGGGTAGGTTAGGGGCAGGAGGAGCCACGAGGAAGGTAGGGAAACGCTGGATAAAGGAAATATCTCTCCAGGAGGCGATCCCGTGTGGGATATTCGAGAAAAGCAGTTACAAGTGCGGCGAGTGTGTGGAGGATACTGGGGTAAGGGTGTGTGCTGTAATGGCTGGGGTGCGAGGAGGGGCTAGGGTCGGAGGGACAGTGCAGGGAGGGAGCCGGCGGGCGCGAGCTGGGCGCAGGGGCGGTGTCACGTGAGGGTACAGGTGGTGCAGACCGCCTCTTCCCTCTGCCGCTGCCCGCAGGCCAGTCCTGAGAAGGGTTCAGTTTGGATGAAACTGGGTGTGGACAGAGAAGGAGAACGCGGGTCACGCCGCGGGAAGGGATCGAAGAGCAGCACCCTGAAAAAGCTGAGGGAGTGTGCCTGGTCTCCCGGCTAAGCACCATGAGGGAGCCCGCGGCTCCTAACCTCGCCTAACTCCTAACCTCACCTAACTCTTCTCCTTACCTTGGGCACTGTGATATGGTCCATGACCCCGCTTCCCGCCACCCAGAGCCCTCACCGTTACTCGGGCTGCCGCCGCTCCTGCCATATCTTTACCCAACTCCGGCTCCCGCCGCCTTCCTCTGACTCCTGGCTCACGCCCTAGTCACCTGATCCTCTCAAAGGCTCCTATCGCGACACTTCGCCTGTGGCCGCTCCCGCCATCTTGCTTCCTGGCAAATCCCGTTTTCTTCAGGAAGCTGATTAACTGTTTTGGTTTAGGTTTAAGGTTTGGCCCGGGAGTTCTTAAGCCCCAGGTTCGAGTACTGACACTCTTCTTACCCTCCTTTATGATGTAAAGACACCAATTTCACTCCACTGCTCTGATACTGCAGCTATGGCACCATGCAGAGGTAGCACAGGCTGCCCCATGCTGGCATCTGGGTTTCTGAAGAGCTACCTAACTGTGAAACCTTGGGTAGAATATTCTTTGAAATGGTCTATATGCATATCCTCCTCTCCATCTCCTCCTTTATATGTTTACTGCCATCAACCTAGTTCAGGCCTGGACCATATACAGTATAGCCTCACAACTTTTGTCCTCACAGGTATAGGAAGAGGATGAAGGGCCCACTGGGCCACCTCTCAGATGAGTTACAGATAGGTATAGTCCCTCATCTGAATCCAATTTGTGATGGAAAAAGAAAAGTCTTAGAGTTGGAAAAGCTGGATTCTTCTCTCAGGTCTGCCACTAACCTGCTGTGTGACTTTAGGCAAATCATGTCACCTCTCCGGGCCTTAAGTTGACAAAAATTACAATGAGGGTATTGGCCACTATCTCTAGGATCATTCCTAGCTCTACTATTGCAATGGTATGGCTTGCAATCTCACCACCCCTACAAAGTGATTTCTTTCTTTCTTCTTTAAGGGTCCATAACACTTGCCAGATATACTCATTCCTCGTTTTCTGCTTTCTCCCCTAGCCTAAAAGCCCTTCCCTCAATCCATAGACCTATTATCCCTTGAGCTGTCCTTCCATCCTTTTCAGTCTTTTTGCTGGCAAACATCTCGAAAGAATAGTCTACACTTACATCTCCACTTCTTCGTAATATACTCACACCTCCCCAACCACTCCCCTCAAATGGCTCTTGTATATCATCCTGAGCTCCAATTGCTAAATCCAACATTCTTCGCAATGCTCATTCTCCGCTTGTTTTACAACATTTAACACTGTTTATTCATATTCCTTTTTTAAATTCTTTCTTCCCTTGGCTTTTGTTCCTGCCTCCCTAACTGTTCCTTCTTTTCCTTCCCCCCCAGTTCCTCTTTTTCCTTCTTTAGCCATTTCCCTGACTTCTGTCTTCCCATTCCTCTTACATTTTCTTTTCGTTAGTAATCTTTATCTCTTTCACAAGTTCATCTCCTAACCCCTAGTAGGAGGCTCCCAAATTTATGTTTCAAGTTCTATGACCTTTTTTCTGAGCTCAAATTTGGAACTTCCAACTGCTCCTTGTGTATTCCTGCTAGCACATTAAAAGCATCATGACCAAAAACAAACTCCTCATTTTTCATTCCTCCGTGCCCCCCAATGCTCCCACCTCTTCTGCCTTTTCTTTCTTAAGTTCTTCCTATCACAAATTAATGGCACCACCATACACCCAGTTACTGAGATTCAAAACTTCATCTCCATGCTGTATGGGATAATAAAAAGAGTGTGTGGACTAGAGTCAGATCAGGTTCAAATCCTGTCTCTGCTATTTGCTAATGACACATGATCCTGAGCAAATTACACAACCTCTCTGGGCCTCAGTTTTCTCATATATAAAACTATTCTCATACGGTTTTGTGAGAATTCAATTAAGTAATGGATGTCAGGTGCCAGGAACATCATAAGATCCCAGTGAATATTGGTTGTTCGCTTCCCTTCCTCAACTGGATCATTAAACATTTGTTTTTCTCCTCTCTCTAGCTTGCTTCCTAGTTCTCTGATAAAATAGAGGCCATCAGAAAAAAAAGTCCACAGCCTCCTATCATCAAATCTGCTTGATGCCCTGCATGTGAACCCATATAATCTTCCTTCAATGAATGAACTTTTCCTGTGCCTTCCTAAAGCAACTCCTCCACTTGTCCATTCAGTTTCATCCTCCCTTGGCTGCTCATTTGTTCCCTCTTTATCACCAAATATTCTCACTTTACCAGATCATTTCCATCAGCACAAATCATTCTATAATATTTCCAATATAAAAAAACAAAAAAATCCTTTCTTCACCTCACATTCCTCTCCCCTGCCTACCACTCCCTCCATTTCCCCTCCCCTGCATTGCACTTTACAGCAAAACTCCTCCAAAGATTTGTCTATATTCATTCATTGTCTCCACTTATTTTCCTCTCCTCCCATTCGCTCTTGAAACCACTCTTATCAGGCTTTGCCCCCACTGCTCCACCAAACTGCTCTTGTCAAGGTTACCAATAATCTCCACATTGCAAAATCAATCCACTGGTCAATCCTCAGTCCTCTTCTTGTCCTCTCAGCAGTATTTGATTATTCCTTTCTTCTTGATACATTTTCCTCCCTTGGCTTCAAGGACACTACAGTCTCTGATTTCTCTGACTGCTTTTTCCCAATTTCTCTCATCTTCCCTATCTCTACATGTTGGAATGTTGCCAGAGCTCAGACCTTGGTCCTCTTCTCTATTTACTCTTACTTTCTGGGTTCTTTCATCCAGGCCCATGGTTTTAAATAACCATCTATTTGTGGACAACTCCCAAAATTGTATCTCTAGTCCTAATCTGTCCTCTGAACTCTTGCATAATGTCCAACAACCTACTGAGGTCTGTACTTGAATGTCTTAGAGGCATCTCAAACTTTTTTGCATCCTTAAACCTGTTCTTCCCATAGTATTTCTCATCTCAGAAAATGACAACTCCATCCTTCAAGTTGCTCAGGCCAAAAGCTATGGAGTCATCCTTTTTCTCTCATGTCCCAAACTCAATTCATCATCAAATCCTGTCAGCTCTTCCTTCGAACTCTTCCCCAAACCCAATCACTTCTCACCCATTCACCCTATAATCTCTTGCCTGGAGTATTGGCATAGCCTCCTAACTGATTGGTCCCCCTAGAATTTATTCTCTAGCATCTTCTAGACTCTATAATCTAGAGTGATGTCACTTTTCTTAAAACCTTCCAGTGGCTCCTCATCTCAAAGTAAAAGCAAAACCCTTAGTCATGGCCTATGAAGCTTTACAAATAATCTAATCTGAGTATATGACGACTACATCTTCCATCACTCTCTCCCTTTCTCTATCTGCTCTAGACATATTGTCCTCCTTGCTGTTTCCAAAATATGCTGGACATTTTCCTGTGCCAGGGAATTTACACTTGCTGTTATTTCTGCCGAGAATGTTCTTTCCCCAGATAGCTACATGTTCACTCCCTCATCTCTGTCAGGTCTCTGATCAAATGTCAACATATCAGAAAATCTTTACCTGACCACCTTATATAAAATAAAACTACCACTAGTTCTCCAGAATTCTTTGCTCTCCTAACCTGTTTTCTTCATAGTTACCAATATCACTTGATATATTATAAATGAATTGGTTATTTATTATTTGTCTCTCCCTCTAGGATGTCAGCTTCATGAGAGCAGGGACTTTTTATTCCCTTCTATGTTTCTAAAGTCTAGAACAGGCCTGGTACACAGTAAATACTCAATAAATACTTGTTGAATGGATGAATTTTTGGACTGGTACCAGATTTTCCCCACCATGAACATTAATCATTCTGAATAACATTCCCTCTTAAGGCAATTTGATGTCATTTCAGAGGAAATTGAGGCACAACTGGTGACCTGCCAAACGTTGCAGAAAAGTCAGGAGTCAGAATGGACCCCCACAAAAGTAGAGAAAGCCTGGGAATAAGAGGTAGAAATCTGGAAGATGAAAGTATTAGGCTCATAAAATATTTTCAATGAAGGGGATACTAGTAGCATCTATTAGTTTACTATTTGTTTGTCTCTCCCCATTAGAATATCAGCTTGAAGGCAGAGGTTTGTCTTTGTTCTGTTCACTACTGTAACCCAGTGCCTAGAAAAGTGTTTGGCATCATGAGTGCTTGATAAATACTTGCTGAATGATGATGAGAATAAATGACTTTAGACTCTCAGCTGGAGTGGGCCAGTGGATAAACTAGAGGGAAAGAGACTGGAGACAGGGAAAGCAGTTAGGAGGCTGTTGTAGTAGTCCCAAAAATGTTGTGAACTGGTGAACCCGTGGGCTTTTTTACTTTTTTCCTAGAGCTCAGGGTACAAATAAGGTCTCAGCAAGATCAGCCATCATCTGAGATGCTATTTGCTGCAGTAAATCTCATCTGCTGTGCTTTACATCCCAGACTCCACCTCAATTATTGTCCACTCATGTTCTACTTCCAGGGCTTTCTCACTGTTGGAGTTTGGCATTCTTCCCATGGTTCCCCAGGAAAGCAAATAGGTATATTGTGCCCCATTGTGTTGCTAGCTAGAGATACGGCCTCAGAAAGCTACTGCCAGAGGTCACCCATGATGTGGGAGATGATGACAATATAAAATGTCACAAAAGCCTTTGTGACCTCACTCCTGCTCTAGAGTCAACTTGATAAATCATAGCAGAGGGCAGCTGGGGCATAAGTTCATATAAGTCACCAAGACCTTCTCCACCTTGCTGCTGGGGAGAGACCATCAGAAACAGAGTGCATTTTTATCGTATCAGTCTTCTTGAACCAACTGCCAACAAGCTTCCTTTGGAGACCAACTTGTCAGAAAGCACTTTATTCATCTTTTTGAAACAGCTTACTTGAATCATGCAGTGTGTAGGAGATATCAGTGAAGAGGTCTGGCAGGACTGCATCACCCTCTTCTTGCAGACAAGGGTGTGCTGTGATGCAGCAATCATCACCAATTCCCCTCCGTGGTTATTAGCTTCTTATCCTGAAGGCAACTTGTTCCAGTTGACCCAGGAAGAAATTCAGATCTTGCTGGCAAGGGATGGGAGAGAGAAGTTGTTTCTTCAGGGAA